CCGAAATTAAATGTTCACCCATTTTTCTCTAAAATTATTTTCAATTACATCCCTACCTATTTTTTTCAATAATTTAATAAAATTAAATAAAATTAATTTATAATTAATTTTTTTTATTTTTAAAATACCGAAATTGATGTCGGGCCAAATTTCGAGATCTGTTATTACAACTTGTGACATAATGAACTCTTTATTCCAAGCTTCCTTCTCCAAAAATGAATTTCCCAGAAGCTGCTGCATCCCAATCACCACCTCCGCAGAAAATATTTCCTCCTCCACCTTCCATTTTTCTGGTAGCATTTCAGCAAGACGACCAACTAGAATCTCTTGTCAAAACACAACATCATTAATAACAATTTCAGACCATGTTCATGTTAGAAAGGGAAATTCATATGCTACCAAGGATATATCTAATAATGGTATTGGCATTACAAATTTCCTTCAGGGCAAGAACTATTTTATAACTGGTGCCACTGGATTTCTTGGTAAAGGTAATATAATTTATATATCACTCAGTACTTCCTATATATATAAAGCAACATGTCTCATTTACTCAGACGAGCCATAATGATTTTAATCCAAAAACTGCAGCTTTCATCGAGAAAATGTTGCATGCAATTCCAGATGTTGCCAACATCTTTCTATTGATCAATGCAAAAGATAAGGAAGTGTGTGTTTGCAGATAGATAAACACTTTTCTCTTGCTTTCTTTTGTTTTTTTTTTCCTAGCACTAGCTTGAGCTAAAATTAATTAATTCCATGAATAATTGCATGCATTTGTCTTGTTTAGATCATAGAACCAGACCTGTTCAAGTGCCTGAAGCAAATACATGGGGAATCTTATGAAGAATTCACGATGAGCAAACTGGTTCCAATTGTTGGAAACATGAATGAACCTGATATGGGGATGGATGCTGATACAGCTGATGAGATTGCCAAAAAAAATTGATATCATTATTCATTCTGCTGCCAATACAAACTGGCATAAAAGGTTTATACACAATCACATTCCTTTGTCACATAAATATATTGTCACAATTCTTAATTACGTATTACTAAAATATAGGTATGATCTTGCTCTAAACACGAACACAAAGGGATGTTCTCGCCTCCTAAGCTTCGCAAAGAAATGCCCAAAACTTAGTCTTCTTTTTCATGTATCAACTGGTATGTGATATGTGTTAAGATCCAGCCCAAAGGGGTATATTAGTAATTTAAAAAGATAAGAAAAAAGAAAGAAAATTAGGGTTGCAGCTCATACACATATATATATATATGTATGTTGCTAGATCAAGAAGAATAAGAGAAGAAAAATTTAGAAAAAAAGAGTGATTGTGCGGAAGAAAGAGAGAGAAGAAAAAGAAGAGAGTTAGAGAGAAAGAGAGAAGGGTGTGCGGCAAGAGGAAAGGAAGGAGAGAACTTGTATATATATAATATATATATATATATATATAAATGTTGAGTGGCTACTAAGAGAAGGCAGAAAAAAGTGGTTTTGATTCTCTCTCCTTGATCACATCATCGTTGACATCAGTAATTTTATCCTTTTTTAGGAAAGTTTAAATTTGATTTGTTTACCTTTTTTTTCTACTTTTGCATAGAGAAAAAGTTATTCTTTTTATGTTCTGGGTTTAATTCTTGATGGATTACCTTATACGTATTTTATTAGTAGTGGATTTGATTCGGAACTTGACTCATAGTTTTTTACTTTACACTGAAGGAATTTTCATGTAAAATTCTATATCTATTTAATTTTGAGATTATTATCTGCTTATTATTTTTACTCGGTTGTACATCAATTTGGCTTGAAATTATTAGTATTAGCTTCTACTAATTAATTTGATATTACCTTAATTTACGCAATTAATTATATCTTTATTCGGGATCCAACAAGTGGTATCAAAGTTTGGTTGACTGGTTTATTGATTGATCTGTGGTATAGAATTAGTTGTACAAATTAGGATCGATGAATACACAGGTACTATGATTAAACTGACGGCTTCAAATTATTCAATTTGGAAGATGAAGATGGAGGAT